TATCTACATTGTAAGTATATCCAGTTTTTTGCTTTATTTGAGGTTCATTCTATCCGAAATTGACATTTTTGCATGAATAATTCCTATACAAAATAATATTTAAACGATAGAAGTCTAGCACAAAAAAATCCTTTGGCAATGTGAAACGTATCAACATCAACAACTTTAGTTCTACTGTATGCTGAAAACTCTTTCGAAAGGAGCTAAAAAAAGTTTTATTTTAAATTTGTTATTTGAATGTTTATCGATTTTATTTACTCATATAAAGCTTTTTTCGAATGACTGAATAATGTCTCGTTCTACAAACTATTTTTTCTAGCCATGTTTTTTGTGTAAAATGGGATTGAGGTAGTCTTTTTGGGTGTTTTTGTTTGAATGTATTGAAGAAATAAGTTGCAATTTTTTATCAAATTAATGCTTAAGGATTGCTTAAAGTCGTCCTTTTAAAACATTATGCATTTATACGAATTTTTAAAAATTACGGAAACTTGCTCTCTTGGATTCATAAAATTGCTTCCTATCACGAGGAACTTTTAAACTTGCTCCTTTCAAAATTTCATTTCAGACGCACTGGATAGAATGATTGAGGAAATGACAAATTTATTTTTTATTCCTTCCACAACTCCAACTCTTTCAGAGTTTTTTTTTTCTTTTTCTCTTTTCTGCTTCAACAGATTTTCACCTGGATAGATGATGAGTTGTAGTCGACTATCACATATGATGTGAATATGAGCAATAGATGGATAAAAAAAAGTAGTCAGTGACTGCTGTTGGGTTAAGTTACTCATACCACAAATTGTCTAGCACTGGCTGACTGCTCAATTCCATGGAATGAGAAATTTTTTTTATTTGAAATAAATATTTGTGAAATTTCTATTTTACATTTTAATATAGAAATAGCGGAATGGATGAATAGAGATGTATAAAAAAGTATGATAAAAATGTTTTCATAAAATACAGATTTTTCTTGATTTATGAAAATAAAATTTCAATAACGATGAGACTCAAGGATGCAGTAAAGTAATCTGATATAGTTTTCCTCCTCAATCCTCAATTCTTCATTCAGCAGACAGAACGAAGAGGAAGGAAAATAAGCTAAGGTAGATGCTGTGTACATTTCAAATATTAAAAGGTACATAAAGAGGGAAGCTCAGCAACAGTGAGTAATTTTCATTTCATAATAATCATAATTTTTAATATTTAAATTTGTCTGACGTCTCCGACATTTTCATCTCTCTCCTGTACTTATGAATTCTCACTATATATTTTAATAATTCATTAAACGTTTATGTTCTTCCTTGCTGTCTTTTTTGAGATTTTTTTTTGTGGTAGACAGTTCATTTTTAGTGGTTTTTGGCTGGATTGTAGAAGTGCTTTCTTATCGTTTTTTACTTGGATTATTAAATTTTGACTTTAAAAACGAGTTTACTGAACTTTAAAAATTTTTAAAACTTCTCTTAGCTATGTCCAGTATGCAATTTTCATTAACATCAATTGACTGACATTGCCTTTCGAATTCACTCTTGCTGTACAAATGATACAGCTCATACAAAATTGCTACTTCACACAGCAGACGAACTTTGCATGCCTTTGCACTCGTAAACCCTCCTCAAACCTTAGCTCAGGCAAATAAACGACATCAACGATGAAGCATTTTATGATGAGTAAAATGCAAACAGCAGCAATAATTTTCACTTCGTTTGCAATTCAAGAGTCGGAAATTGAGATTTTCATTTTCATCTCTATAAAAATATATATTTTTTTTTATTTTAACTACTACTTTTGGAGATGCAGCCAGAAGAGTAGAATCAGTAAGCCTCTGAAAAAATTCACAGCCTTGTGCGAATACCTCCCCGTGTGTTGAAACGTTAAATGTTTATGGTTAAAATTATGTTGATGATAGTCATATTGCTAACATTTGCAATGTGCAACCATAATTTATTCTCCACTTCTTTTTTTTTGTTTATAATTTTCATTTTCCCATGCAGACTTGCATAAATGTGAATTTATTGCACTTTTTTTGCTCTCTTGTGCATACAATAAGTTACACTGCACAAACATAATATTGCACCAACATTGAGACACACAACAAGAAGAGGAAGACGGCAAGGAAATGAAAATTTGCAAATTAATTTGATTAACTTTTAGAGATGCAATTAAAAATGAAATTATGTTGAATTAAATTACTTAATTATCATAAAACTTTTTTGTATTTACATAGAACTGAAAATGTGCAAGAATCATGAAATTTTATGGCAGAAAAAATCTCAGCTTTTCCAGTGAGGATAGAATTGAGTGTTGTAAGTACTTGGTGTAAAAATGGATGGAAATTTGAGTGTGGATTTGAGTTGCATTAAAAATTATGCAAAGTGCAGCTTATGGCTGAAGAAGTGCAATGCATTTTGGTATGGTTCAATAATTTGTGGATTGTCTGAGGTATTTTCATTCAAATTTATACAGTTTATTGCTATTTCATAAAAACATAAAAAGATTGTTAAATTTTAAAAGTTTGATTTTTATAATTTTTTTGAAATGTCTTGAAGTCATTAAGAGATTAAATTAGTAGATTATAGGTTCGATTCTCAAACTTCACAATTTTGCAAAAAATTCCATTAAACCTAGTTGATTCACATAAAATATCACGAGACAAAACAGAAAACTCTAATCAAACATTCCATTTGTTATTTACTTTGCACATATAAATTGCTAGAGGAATTCCTTTGCACATTTTCCTCTTTACTCTCAAAACAATCAGTCATTCGTAGAACTGCTGATGTATAAAATACGAATAAAGAATCTAATAACAAGAGAAAAATTGAATACTCAATGCGAGAGTCGCTATGTTGCCAGATAAACATTCAAATGCATTCCTACCTATTATATGCAAAAATTCTCAATTTTTTTTTCATCTTCTGTCAAAGCAAATAAAATTCGCTTTTGAAAATGAAGAGAATTGAAGATTTTTCCTGACATCAATCGATGAGAATGAGTAAAAAAAATAAATGTGAAAAAAAATGTCTGTCGTTGCTAATTAAACATCAGACAATTGCATCAGACTATCATAAATCAATCGAACAAGCAAAAATGACTTCCTCGTTGATTTTATGAATATATAAAAATTTTTAAATGTGAAATTAAAAACAGAGATGTGGGATTTTTCAGAATCATCGTGGAATTTTTATTGGCTTTTTTAAGCAAAGTTGAAACAATGTCATATATTCGAATTAAATAACATAAGGAAGTACAAAACTATTTCTTTGCGCTCGAAAAATTAATTTGATTCTTGTAGATCATTAAAATAGCTTAGAATTAATTTTTAAGAACATAGAACAACTGTAATAGCCTCAAGTTCTCTCCAATAATGAAAAGTTAAATGAATTTTGATTGCACAATTTTTCCAGATATTAATTGACTGTAATTAACTTAAAATCTAGCTTTACATGGAATTTATGGTAGCCTTTTCGTATGAAAGGTTTTCCTCGTGAATCATGTTTTTAATTTCGGAAATTTTCAGTTGAATTAAAAGTTTGCTGATTTGGTTTTTTTGTGTAAAAATTAGTGCACATTTTTAATGAATTCTTTTTACCACGTTTTTCTTAACTTGCTTTCTTATTTATGTTGGATACATTAATTTTTAATAAATATGGCTTATTTTGTGAGTTCAGTATATGTTTTAAAATGTTCATTATGGATGCTTTAAATATTGTCAAATAAAAATTCTCAATCAGAATCCTTAAAAAGCTGAATTTATCCAACATTCATCAGCTTAATATAAAAATAAATTTCCCAACCGCAAATATCATGATCAAATTTATGTAAATACTGCAATTTCATAATTTTCAGGTGAATAATTTCCCAATCAAAATTAAGCTTATTATGAGGTAAATAAATACATTTATGTTAATATTAGAAAGTCATACTATTAATAAAAAATTGCATAAATATTGGCATAAATATTGAAAAACTTAAGAGGATTATAAACGTATCGAGATGTATTTTATTCAATTTAATAATTTTTTTCAATTATTTATGGCTGTTGACAGTCGGATGATTGTGAAATAAATGCATTGAGATTTTGTTATGACAAATTTGGTGGATTAGGGAAAATTATGGGGAGATTTGTTGATATTTTGGCTGTTAATTGATTTTTAAGATTGGCAAGGAGTCAAAAAGTTTTCGTTGATCCTCAAAACCCGAGGAATATTATCGTGATTTTTTTATGCACCTTCTCTGACCCATAATAATCAAAATGTATCTAAAGCACTTGATAAACTGATCAAAATCCTAAAACTCAGAATTTAACAAAGTTTCGTTCGCATACAAATGATTATTTTATAAGAATCAAAAACTTGCTTGGGGTCATCGGTATCTCTTTTATGATAAGCACAAAACTTGATATTTCTTTTATGTGCATCCACATAAGAATTTCTATTTTAATTCATTTTAAAAAAAATTATTGATAAAATAAAACTAAACTTTATTGTATGTGCATGCATGCTCACAATACACACACAAAAGATTGAAGAAGAAGTTAAATAAATAATTTTTGCAAGTCAAAGACGAGGAACAAGAAGTAAGAAAATAATTTCATGTGTATGAATAAAGTACACAAAGAGACATAAAAGAATTGCGCACACATTCACGAGAAAAAAAAAGCAGAACAAAAAAGAGTTTACAAATATTTTTTTATCGCTTTATAAATGCTGTTAAAAAGGTTACTCAACTCTGTGCCTGTCTATATCGAGGCTCAGCTCGCGCGCGATTCTCATTTTTTCTCTCTGTGCTTCTTTTTTTGTTGTTCCTTCTTCTTTCAAATGCACATTTTTTATTTTCGTGTTTTTCATTTGAAAATTGAGTGATTTTTTACTTTTTTATGAGATCAAGTTGAGACAACAGCAGCAGCAGAAGAAGAAGAGGACTATACTGATAGAAAAAAGGATGTGTATCTAATAATATTTATTGTGAAAATAAAAACAGTTGAAAATTCTTTCGCAGTTAGTTGAGCATAAATTTCACTCTAAAATGTAACGTCCAATTTATCATCATACATCTTATTGTATTCTTTCTCATTCATTTGAGCATCATGTGAACTCTTCTCTCCATGTTTATGTCTGTTGTCGTTATCTTTATCAGCATCACTTTTTTGCATTCTTTTTTTTCTTGTTGCTGCTCTTATTTTCTTCCATTGTATGGGATATGTGTATATTGCTGGCAGGGTTGTGATTCATTATATGCTTAAAACTTTTTTTTGAATTTGATTTACTTAATCAGCTTCACAAATGACTAAATATCGCAATTTTAAAATTTCATCTTTTAAAAATGTTCAAGTCCATCCACTGTCCACCAACCAATTCATCCAACGCTGTCCCTAACAATGAAAAGTCTGAACTTTTTACATGAAAAGAAATAAAATTCTTTTTTTGTTTACTCTTTCTGTCTATACTGTGTGCTACACTCTCTCAGCTCGCGAATAAATAAATAAGTAATATGAAAACTTTTATTTATGTGAACTTAAGTTTTGTCTCTTTTTTTATTTATTCTTTATTTTAGTGATGAAAACAAAAGACAAACTCAGGGCAGGCGACGAGACATTGTTAAAATAAAGAAGAGATTTATAAAAGGATGAAAAAAAAAAGAAAAACAAAGAGCAGCAGAGAGAAGAAGCAACCGAAAATTGCACACACAAAAGGGCATTGCCAGATATCCTCATTAATTTTTTTCAAGCTCTTTTGCTTTTCTTCTTCACTTTTAATTTTTCCCATTTTTGTTTTGTGCACACACTGCTCGCTAAAAATCAAAAGACTCATGCATTATCCTGCAATGTTTATGTCTCGACGAAAATATTGTGATTTCCATTTTTTACACTATTTTGCTCCTTAATTTCTCTTTTATTTGCCACGCCAAAAAATGAATATTCATCTTTTCTATGGGTTGAGTACTTTATTCATTTATGAATATTTTTAACACGAGCGTGATAGGAGTATGAATGTGTAACAAAAAGGAACTATAAGAAAATTATATGCATGAATTTGTATAGAATGAAGGCATAAGGCAGTCGAGACATCAAACAACATGAAAAAAAATTGTTTAAGGACAAAAAAAAATACATCCAGACGAGGATTTTTTTATGCTCAATTCATAATGTCTATGATGATATTATATGGTTTATTTCAGTTTTGTCGCTTCTATCGTTCAGTTTTGGATATAAATCGTGAGTAATGAAAATCTTTGAGAGCTTTTTGTCAAGGCGCAGAAAGTTCATAAAACAAAAACCAGACAATATCCCCAAAAGCTCAATCAAGATCTCCCTATTCTCAATGAATAAAATTCATCAGCACCATAAAATCCATCCTCATCGTAATTAAAATTGAATGAAGAGTAATGTGATGATGAATTCATAAAAAATCATAATTTAATTAACTTTTCTACCCCGATTCCCATTCTATCGAATGCAATGTCATCAATGTACATTCAGCACTTCATTATATTCATCATCATTAACGTTCTGTGATTCAATAATATTTTTTTGCTTCTTTCTCGTCGTCTCATTTTGCTGCTGTTTACAGTTTATGAATATTTTTTTTTGTTCATTCATTAAAAAATTAATGGATGAATGGGAGGGATAAAAATGGCAAACAATCAGAAACAGGATAAAAAAAATATTTTTTGGGTGTTAAATTTTATGAAGCTGTCAAACAGAAAATAACCGACTACATGCATACACATGATTATTCATTCACAATAAACAATGTCATTGACTCTTTCAAAATTTCATTTTATCTAAATTGTGTTTTTACCACAGAAAAAAATTGTTTTTTGGTCATGTAAACATGTGCATGAGTAAAATGCATTAGGATGATACAAATTTATGTTTTGCAGACTGCCAAATGACAAAAATTTAATTATGGAAAATTTTCGTAATATAGATAAGTGGAGTAAGGTAAAGTTTAGTTCCAAGGGATGTCAAATTCGATTATAGTTTTAATTTTTGATACCGAAAAAAATTCAGTTACAGCCTGAGGGCTTTTGTAAAGGTGTCATTGCAACTACCAAATTATAAGAGGTTATGTTCCTTAATGACTCCCCTAAGGCTTAACACAACGAATTCCCACTGGTCTTATTATGCAAAAAGCAACTTAATGTCGACAATTTTGCGTAAGATCATTGACTCACAAGTGCCGCCAACATTAGAGGCAAATAAAACAGCAGAAAAATTTGAATAAATAAAATGAAAAAATAAATGACATTTAATAGCTTCTGTTGTGTTTTATAAGCGATAATTTATTAATGATAGTTTCACCATTTGATAGAATATTTAATGAGTTTAATAAAAAATTATATGTCAAGTTGGCTTCCCTAGTTCCTGTTTTCCCATTCATTCTTCATCATTTTCCACTTCCTCTGTTCATTCTTCCTTTATAACAGGCAGACACATCGCCTAGCTTTCGAAATATTGTATACTATAGGATATACAATTAATGTCTACATGAACTCACTCTCAGTCTATACATTCAATCTATTTCATCTTCCCATTCTCCCTTAGCTTAAAACAGTGAAATTTTGTATTTAAACTAAACATGTAGAATGAGAGAGAAACACGTTAGTGCTATTATTTCATGACACGCAACGTAATTTGTCTGACGGGAGCATTTCATATACCTCTTTGCATGGAAAAGTTTCCAACTCTTTATTTATGTCTCCTTCTCCCTCGCTCACTGACTGACTCTACATGCAATTCTGTATTAATCTCCGCAATTTTTTTTCCTGTTATCCATAAATTTATTATCCATTTCTGTTGAGTGTATATGGATGATTTTTGAATGAGAAATCTCGTTTTTTATACGAATATCCATGCAATTTATTGCTTGTGCTATTTAGTCAGTGACAACAGCTATAAAAAGTTATCGTAGAGCAAGGCAAGCGACAGGAATGATATGTGATCAAGTGGATATTTAGAGCGCATTTAAAAGGAGTCGGGAAGTAGGTTTACCACGACTAGGTCTGTGTCTAGTTTAAGTCACTTAATACTTGTTAAACTCTTATTCAATGCCTTGCTGTCTAGCTTAGCAATAGCAGCACGATCATCGAAACAAGTCAAATATGCAAAAACAAATTTATTTTACGGAAAATGCATTTAAAATTAGCAATGACGATGAGTAAACACACACATGCATGCACAACATCGAGCGAGACATAAATTTTCATGTTTTTGATGCTTTTTTAAGCTCCACTAAAAAATTTGCAAATTTTAAATCCATGGAATTTTTTATATATAAATTTATACACATGCATGACTGCATCGATGAATATTCAGGATACTTTTATTATGTTTTAAATCTTATTTAAAAAGAATGACATGAAATAAACTATATGTTGCATAAATATGCGAATCAAAGTGAGATGAGCATGTGAATAAAAATGAAGAAGGATGATGCTGCATATACATTATCCTCATGTCTAAAGCTTTTTAATGTTGAATAATTCTATGATAATGTGGAAAAGCTCTTTTATAATTCAAAGGATTTATCCGTATGTATATGAGTATAAATTGTTCTCTATGTGCATTCACATGAGGATGCAAAAGAAAAGAACTAAGGAAAACGATACAATTAATTGGATGAAAGTATACTAAGTGCATTATCTTTATAAGGGAATTTTCTTGTGCATGCATGCTTGCTATGTAGATAATTATTGTCATTAAAGTCTTTTGGATCATTTAGGGACTTAAAAGAAGAATTTAATTAAAATAAATTGATCTGATCATTAATTATTCAAGATGGAAGTTATGTTGAAGCTTTAAAAAGTTATTGCATACTCTGAAGATATCAATCACTTGACTCAATTGCATCACATTCGTTCAAACAAATTTTTAAAATGCTCATGAATACCTCCATTCTATGATACTTATCAATGAATTATAACAAAAAGCTTTTAAAGGTCTTTCAAATTTCCTTTCTTATGAAATTCTATTTCTCATTTTTCACATGAAATCCTCCATTTTATGTTCTCTTTTCTCAAATGCCCTTCTTGATAAGTATTTCTATTGCAAAAAAAAAAATCACTTGAAACATCCTTGACTAAAAAACTTTGCTCGTTTCATATTTTTTAAAATTCATCCTTGGCTAAAGAACTACAGAAAAAGCTCAAGCGAGTGCCGAGAGGAAAAATCCTTGAAAAATTCCATTTATTCCGATTAAAACTTTCAAGTTTCTCGTACGAGAGTAAAATTATAAATTATCGCTTACTTAGAATGAAAAATAGCGAGCATGTACATAGAAGAATATCTGGGTCAAAGCTGCTAGCTACTATTCATATTCAATTGCTTAGTGTGCGCAATATTGTGAAGCTTGTGGAAAATCTAGGTCAATGCAATGTGCATAAATGACAGCATCAAATGTGTGCAATGCAATAAAAATAAAAGGAGGAGTGAATATAATGAAATAAAGCTGAATATGATATCAAATTAAGTTGCTTGCTATCCTAATTGAAATAAAAAAGTATATAGTATAGGGGAGAAATGATGTGTCAGTCAGTAAATTAGTGTCAGCGTATGATAACTGCATTGTATATAAATAAAATTTAATTGAAAAATTTATTCGTCTATTTTTAGTGTGAAGGAGAATGACAAATATTGATTATTTTTACTACAGTCGTTGGTTTTAACTTCAATAACTTGATTGAATAATAAAAGATGATTAGTCGTGGTCAATTTGTGCCCTGCAATTGACTTGAAGATGAACAAATTACATGAAAAATTATTAAAATATCTAGATCAGGAATAACCTGGAATTTGTACTAATTTAAAGTCATAGCTTGATTGTGAACATATAGCTGAGTCAATCCTGTAAATCTATACCACCCTCGGCAAATTCCACATAAATTTTCAAAGGGTTTGGCTCAATAACTTCATCTCTAGCTAAAATATGTCAACTTTAAGGCATGTCGAAAATTCAATACATCTTTTCCTTCCTTCCAATCCCAATAGAACACATTCCTAATTTAATAATAGATTCAATGATTTGCAAGATATAATTTTTACAGTCATTTCACAATCCGATGCAGACTGCTGAATAAAAGAGCAATGAAAATTGAATTTAATATTTTACACAGACGAGAAACGACGACGACGATAGAAAATTTGTGTCACCGTGTTGTATGACGTGCAATGACATTCATGTTAATGCAATTAGATAGAAAAAGATTATTGAAGTGTTATTTGAATTACTTTTTGATTTTATGAGCCAGTCACATTGGCGATTAAGATGAACTTTTTGTCGTTGACATTTTCAGTACAGCAAAAATGTATTTTTAATGAATTTTATTCCTCATCTAATTTTCCCTGATTGTTCCATTGTAAAATAGAAAAAAAAAATAGTCGATGGACAAAGAAAAAGTTTGTGGACCTAAA